CTTCCCATGTAGGTAACATTATAAATGAAAATAATGAAGAAGTACAGGAGAAGGATATCCCAAATGCCTTTAACAAACATTTCATAGAAGTTGGCCAGCGACTGTCTCGGAATATTCCTATAACCGACAAACAACGTGAGGCCTACATTAACGTTTCAAATGCTCGTTTCCATTTCCAAGAGGTATCCCAACAAGAAATACTCAATCTTTTATCGAATATTGCCACAAATAAGGCAACAGGTCCAGATAAAATATCTGCTAAACTTGTAAAAGTAGCAGCACCAATTATAGCAAACCATTTAACTATCATATTTAACAAATTGTTATCAGAAGGTACATTTCCACACGACTGGAAATCTCTAAAGTCACGCCAACTTACAAAAATGGACCCAAACATGACATGAATAATTATAGACCAATATCTGAGATCTCAACTATTGCTAAAGTTAAGGAAAATGTTGCTCATAACCAACTCTATTTATATTTACAAGATGAGAACCTATTATCTACCTCCCAACATGGTTTCAGACCTGGTCATTCCAATGTAACTGCTTTACTAGAAATCACTGACAGGGAATATCATAATATTGATATTGGTGATGAATGGAGTCGTCTTTCTTGATCTCAAGAAGGCATTCGACACAGTTAATCACCAAATATTATTAAATAAACTTAACTGTTACGGTATAACCGGAACTGCCCACAAATGGTTTGCATCATACTAATTATCCAATCGCTCACAGTATTGCCAGGTAAATGGAGGTATTTCCAAACAGTCAAGCATGATTAGTGGAATACCACAGGGGTCAATTCTTGGACCCCTGTTATTCTTACTGTATATAAATGACCTCCCTAATTGCTTAAATAGTGTTAAGTGTAACATGTTTGCTGATGATACCCAAATTGATACATCTGGCAATGACATAAATACTGTTACAAAAGCACTAAATAATGACCTAAAAAATGTATTTGACTGGCTGACCGTAAACAAACTCAGTTTAAATACTAAGAAAACTGAATATATGATTATAGGATCTTATCAAAGGCTAAATTTAATAGAAACAGATCCTCCAATCTATCTCGGCACAGAAAAAATCAAACGAGTTAAAACGATTAAGTCATTGGGTCTAATGTTAGATGAGACGCTAAGTTGCAATGAACAGGTTAATTTAACGCAATAACAACTAAAGTAAATAGAGGTTTGAATGTACTAAAAAGGTTTAAGAGAATTTGTAGACCTTGAAACTTTACTAATTACACTGACCGCAGCCAGTGTCATAGAATGCCCTTGCTTGAAAATGCTGTCTTTTTCGGTTTTTTGCTTGTCGTAAATGTGACTTCCATTGCGGCATCGTGGGCTCAGGATTGCGCAATTTAGCTAAAACATGCTCACGACGACTATTAGGACCAATTCTACACAATGTTAATCAGAACGACTTTCGTGTTTAACTACGTTACAAATCTTAGACGCTGTAATTGTGGGACGTATTTTATTATATTTCATTGCGCATGCGCTTGAACTTTTCTGTATTTTTCGATATGATATCGCTGAACTCTATTGGTTTTGTATGGATTTTTATTGTGCCGTGCTCTGAATGTTTGTGATCGTGAAGTGACGGCCGTCAAGAAGTGAAGAACATCTACATGTTTCAAATTATTTTTTAAGCGATGGTATTTTACCAACCGCGAGGCCAGTGTGAACGCCTGAGCAGGCGTCTTGTTGCTTATAAAACATTAGTGCAACCTTACTTTGATTAGTGTTCACAGGTATGGGGCGGCATCGGCTCCACACTTTCTGATAAACTACAGCGTTTACAAAACAGAGCTGCGCGCATTATCACTAAGTGTGGATATGATGTCCGCTCCTGTGTTCTTCTACAACACCTAAACCTTGACAATCTGGAGACTCGTAGGAACCAACAACTTGCTACACTAATGTTCAAAGTTAGAAATTCAATGGTTCCTCGCTCCATATCAAATAGTTTATTTCAAAGAACCGATGACGTACACAATTACGAAACGAGACAGGTGCAAAATTATTTTCCACCTAAACCAAACACTAATTTTAAGAAAACATCATTTAGTTACAGGGGTGCGATGGCTTGGAATAGTTTACCTTGTGATCTTAAAAGATGTCAAACCGTCCAATGTTTCAAAAACAAGCTTTAATTGCAACGAAAGTAATAATAATTTTTATATATACGGCCTATTGGAAGATCACTTATTTTGTTTTCTCTCTGTATATATTTAGTTAGTTTTATATTGTGAAATAGCTCCGCATTGAAATAAAGTTGAATAATAAAAAGACTATTTAACAATTAGACAACGAGGCCGAGTTGTCTATGAGCGAATAGTCAACGAGGCGAAGCCGAGTTGACTATTTGCTCATAGACAACGAGGCCGAGTTGTCTAATTGCTTTAGTATAAACTTTAACATTAATTTACAACTAGGCTGCAAACACAATACAAAAATACACAAGTTTTAATTTTAAAATTTCATTGAGTGTATGTTATTTTGTCTATTTTCTTACCCTTAAAAATTGCCATTCCATATTTTTGTTGCTTTTTCGGGTTTTTTTAGTACAGAATTGTTCAACAAGTCGTCCAAAAAATCATCAGACACTTCGGAAAAAGTGCAAAACGCGAATTTTCCGCCATTTTGAATTTTCTATTAGTAGGCTATCACTAATAGCCTACTAGTAGCGTAGCCAATCAGAAGCCACGATATGTGATAGCCTAATACCAGTGAACTGTAATAACACTAGAACGCTAACTGCAGATTAAACATGCCCATACTTGCCTGAAGCCAAGATGGCGCTTCTCGCGAGCTCAGCCGCCTCAGCGAGCAATAAATTAACTTTCAAAAGGACTGGGGAGAGTTTCGAGGAGCGGGAAATTCAGTCAAAAGTTTGTTTTCGAGCGAAAATCAGCAAGAAAAAGTACTTTTTTATCGAAAGTCTTCAACTTTAAAGATTCAAACCTGGTTTCCTGGATAGTTCTAAGTATTTTACATCCACTAACAGCAAAAACTTCCTGGGTAACAGCTTGATATTCAAAATATTACAGAAATTTGAACGTGCCGAAAAAAACTTCGCACTTTGACTCCTGAAAAAAGAACTTTATAACTGCTCTACGTTCTGGAAACATGTTTTGTATTAAATTTCAGGTATTGTTGAAAGTTTTTAGCTTTTTTCCTTGTTGAAATACAGCTATTTAGTGGTCGAAAACAGACATCTTTTAGGCGGCGTATTTTCCACACCATACCTACATGGCGGCCATCATGAGTGGCTTCAAAGATGGCGGCCAAGTTATCGTTCCAGTTCTCTTGGAGTTCACTGGTTTATACTAAAGTCTTAATAGTCATGACCTATGGTCATGACTATAGTCTTAATAGTCATGACTATAGTCTTAATGGTCATGACCATAATCTTAATGATCATGACAATAGCCTTGATAGTTATGACTATAGTCTCAATGGTCATAATTATAGTCTTAAGATATTGATATCGTAAGATATTGCATGATATCCTGAGATACTGTATGATATCCTAAGATATTGATATTGTAAGATACTGTATGATATCCTAAGATATTGCACGATATCCTAAGATACTGTATGATATCCTGAGATACTGTATGATATCCTAAGATATTGCATGATATCCTAAGATACTGAATGACATCCTAAGATGTGCCGCCTCATGCGTTCTTAATAGTCATGACTATAGTCTTAATACAAGGCGGCACATCTTAGGATATCATTCAGTATCTTAGGATATCATCCAGTATGTTAGGATATCAATATCTTAATATATCGTACAGTATCTTAGGATATCACGGAATATCTTAGGATATCATACAGTATCTCAGGATATCATACAGTATGGCTTACGATATCAATATCTTAGGATATCATACAGTATCTCAGGATATCATGCAATATCTTACGATATCAATATCTTAAGACTATAATCGTGACCATTGAGACTATAGTCATTGTAGTTTATCTTGTAATTATTAACTAGTTTCTAAGTATTAAATATAAGGTAATCTCCGTTCGTGTTCGACTGCTACTTGATATATATTTGTCTGCTCCAGAGTCATTAATCATCTCAAATGTCAAACTAGGCGTATGAATATATCTAAATAATACGAATATATTAACTATATTACATCTTTTATTTGTTTCGATCATGAGGTATATATCACTATGAGTTATGAAGTTTGAGTTCGATTCAAAGGTTCAAGCGATCAGGTGGTTTGATAACTCTTCCAAAACGATCTTGTATATGTCTTTCGTCATGGTTGGCCAATAAACTGCTTCTCGTGCGCGTCGTTTACATGCCTCTGCACCGCGATGTCCTGAGTGTACCGAATTGAGAATCGTGTTAATCATCCTTTCAGGGATTACAATTTTCTCTCCTTTGAATATTATGTCGTCGTAGATAGAAAGTGTTTCAGAGAAGTCCCAGTAATGCTTGGATCTACTGCTCTTTTTTCATTTGGCCAACCTTCTAGGATTTTTTTGCGTAGTGCTGTTAGTGTTGGGTCAGCGAGTGTTGCCGCCTTAAGTTGTTCACTCTTCTCTGCGGAGAATGGGATGGTTGGATGAACCGTTAGGTCTTCAAATTCAGTTTCTTGATCTGTGTTGTTGAGACACGCCCGACTGAGGGTATCTGCGATGTGGAGCTGAGTTCCTTTCTTGTAAGTCACTTTCAGGTCGTATCTTTGGAGCTTAAGAAGCATGCGCTGTAACCGAAGTGGGCTTTGGTAAAGCGGTTTCTGGAATATTGACTCCAGTGGTTTGTGGTCACTTTCGATCTGTACTGTTCGTCCGTAAACGTATTGGTGAAAACGCTCACAGGCGTACACTATTTCCAACAAATCTTTTTCTATTTGTGCATATCGTTTTTCGGTGTCGTTGAGAGTGCGTGAGGGGTACGCCACTGGCTTTTCATCTTGCAAACACACGGCACCAAGTCCATATTGGCTGCTATCGCATGATATCTTTACGGGTTTGTTGACGTCATAGTAGACTAGTGTTGGTTGACTTGAACATGCTGTCTTCAGGTCATCGAAACATTTCTGGTGTTCAGGTTGCCATGTCCATTCGTTTCTCTCTTTAATTAGATCTCTTATGACGCTTGTATTCTGCGCTAGGTCAGGAATAAATTTAGCCAAATAGTTAACCATTCCGAGGAACCGACGAAGTTCTTTCTTGCTCTTTCTAGCACTTTTAGTAGGCATTCGCGATCGTCATGTTCAACTTCATCTCTACCCCAGATCAGGATATCATCCACAATGATCTCGCATCCCTTTATGTCTCCAAACAGTTGATTCATCGTCCTTTGAAAGACTTCAGATGCTGATGATATTCCAAAGGGTAAACGACGAAAACGAAAACGGCCGTATGGAGTGTTAAATGTAAGTAACTTAGACGATTTCTCATCGACAGGTATTTGCCAGTAGCCACAGGTTGCATCAAGTGGGGAAAAAACAGTTGCTTGTGGTAATCTTGATACAATCTCTTCTATCGTGGGCATCGGATAGTGCTCTCGCTTGATTGTATTGTTCAAATCTCTTGGGTCTAAACAAATTCGTGTCTTGTTTGGCTCTGTGATCGTAACCATAGACGACACCCAATCTGTTGGCTCTTCGACAGGTTCAATAACTCCTAGATGTTGCATATAGCGACATCTATACTGCGTATAGCGACAGGAATTTTCCTCGGTGCATGGATTACTGGTTTAGCGTCCTCTTTAAGGTTGATTGTATGCTGTACTGGCAGGCATCCAAGTGTCTTATTATCAAACACATCTGCATACTCTTGCATTATGGATTCAGTTGTGGTTAGTTTCATTTCATTCACTCGTTGGATGAGATTCAATTCTTGACAAGCTTTCAATCCAAGTATGGGGCATTCATCACTATCAATGACATAAAATCGCAAAACGTACATCTTTTCTTTGTATTCACACAAGAGTGTTGTGTGACCACATACATCCATCTTGTGCCCTCCATATGATACTATTTTTGTGTTTGATTTCTGCAATGTGTCGTTGGATC